TGTAGCTTTGCGCGAAATTCAAAACAAACAAACAATTCATTAAATAAAAAATCTGGGAAAAACGAGGTATATTTTGTGTAAAGAGGAAAAACTTAAAACCTAACAGCAATAAAACAGACCTAAGTGTTTAGATTTTTGTATTCCTGCCCAAAATAAAATTTTGTTTTAAAATACTCTTTTAAGTTTTTGTACTTTAAATTTTACTAAAACTTCTAAAACCTATCGTTTAGAAGACTGTACAAGTTCCACCGCAGGAATCGAGCCTCGAATTTTATCGTTACAATCTCTTATGTTACCGTTGAGCCACCAGTGGGAGGACTCTGTCAGTAGATGAACTGAATACCTCAGTTGATATACACTTGAAGCCGGAGGAGGGGAGGAAGGTGTAAACTCAAACTTTATTTGGTAATAACTACGTAAGAAAACGACAATCGTGAATAACCTGCGTCTTGTATATTCTTTTCATTTCAATAAATGTACAACGCTACATCAGGCCTCTAAGATGGAGTGTTTTATATGCTAACAAAATGTGTACAGAGCTAAACTGAAAGGCAAACAATATGGCCAACCACCCTGAAAAAAAAAACCAAACATAGTGTTGAATTGATTTGATGTATCTGAGCAAAAGAAAAAAAAAACCTTTAATCACAGGATCTGATAGACGAGAATATGTCTATTTTATTCTGTATGATATTACTTACTGTTCTGTCATCTTTGCAGGGAAGATTTTTCAAAATCTTCAAGTCCACAATGAATATGCGATGTGCGTCTAACGCGTCTCTCAGTGTCAGGTTCTCCAACATTGGCTCTAACTCAAACACATTAGCTCCAAAGCTAGAAAATGGAGACTGAATCAGTTTCATTCGTGACACGTGGCAAAAAAAATCATGTTTTCATTTTCTTAATATATTTGTAGATTTTATATTTTGTTATGGGACTTTCGAAAATTTACTAGTTAATTCTTCGTTATCAAATAGCAATTAACAACTATGCTTGTTTTAGTAACCCTACTTTGTATTTTTTCGCTAAATAATTGATGTAAACAACATTTTGGGGTTCTTTTATTCAAATTTTACCTACCTTTCAGGAATTTCCAAACAGAGCTGTATAGAAATAGGATTCAGTCCCTGCAATCTCTGCATGGCAAACCATTTATCATCGTTCCACCGAGGCAAACACTGAAGTATAGAGGGCGTTTGGTTATTTCTTATTTTAGTATAAAACAAAATATGAACATTGAGTAACAAACTACTTGCTCCAAGAAGAAACATCTATTAGGATCCAATTATCTACTTCTCGAGCGATTAAAATTTTTCGTAACTAAGAAACCAAAGTTTCGTAGTTAATTAGTAAACTTATGTTTTAGCATATTAAAAAGTGAGACGTCGATTAAACAACCAAAAGTTCAAGCTAAAACAAAAACTGAAATATTTTAAGTATAATAATTCCGACACCCTGTAAAAGGCCATCTTAAGATGGAGTTAAAAGCGTATGTTCTATTTTCTATTAAAAATTAATTAATTAAAAACTTCTATCTGTATTAAAGTGAACACGGTTTTATAATATTTGGTAGTAAATTGACAAATAACGTAGTATAAAGATGATGAGGGGGTTTTATTTTGGGGAACACACTACGTGTTTTGACAGAAAATTTATCAATATTCTTCAGATATGGCCAAAGTTCTGTTGAAACATGTAGTGTGTTCCTCAAAATAAAATCTCCTCATTATACTTAGAAGTTATTGTTTGTCGATTCAATTCTGTGTTAGCATAATATGCTTCAATACATAAATACATAATGTCCAGTTATTCCAAGTCCATCAGTTATTTTGATGGCTTTACCCCCCACAAATAAATATAAACGATTCATTTCTTCCGCCTTCTTAAGATGGCTCTTGGTTAAGAAAGGCGATTTTAATCACAGAAGTTGGCTAAGTTAAACAAAAACAAGGCTTACCGACGGCTCTGAAAGGCTGAGTTTGAAAATGTTTTTAAGGTCCTGTAGAGATTCCCACTTGTCGGAGGTTAGGCCGATTAATTTAGCGTCAAGTTTGAGTTTGGTGGACATAGACTTGATGTCCCACTACACACAATTAAAGACATGATTAATAAACAGTATGGCAGAGAGAAACATAATGAAATATGTAAATCTGAGTAAGAGAAACATAGTGATAATATACAAGTTTGGGTAAGAGAAACATAGTGATAATATACAAGTCTGGGTAAGAGAAACAGTGATAATATACAAGTCTGAGTAAGAGAAATATAGTGATAATATACAAGTCTGGGTAAGATAAACATAGTGATAATATACAAGTTTGGGTAAGAGAAACATAGTGATAATATACAAGTCTGGGTAAGAGAAACATAGTGATAATATATAAGTCTGGGTAAGAGAAACATAGTGATAATATACAAGTCTGGGTAAGAGAAAC